CCCCCAAAAAAAAAAAAAAAAAATTAAAACAATGTATCCCGGTCGATAAAGTGGTATCTTTTTGAAGTCTGTATCAGTTCAGGTTTTACATTATATAAAATCCTTTCCTTAGCTCCTAAGCAAGGAAGACACAGGAGAGAAGCCCAATAAAACACAAAACCATTGAAAGGGTTTGCAATGACTACACGAGAAACACAAAAACAAGTAGAAATACTCTCAAACCGAACTGATCGAACCGAACCCGAACCTGAACTAAACCGAGCGGTTCTTCTTAAATTAAATACCCGAACGGATTTGATTCGGTTTTCGGTTCTAGATCAAGAATCGAAGAATCGAATCTCTCTAATTTTTTTAATTAATTTATTTTAAATGAGCCAAATTATTTTATTTTTCTAAATAAATTTGCTAACTAGTTAATTCAGCTCAAAGCCAAAAATATGATTTTCCTATTTTTAATTTTCAGTTCAAAGCCAACTTAATCAAATTGATCTAAGTTTTATCTAAATCTGTTACTCTACCGTAGGTCATTTCTACCGTTATAGAGAAATCGAATTGAAACTCAACAACGCCTCTCTTAATTATTGTGAACTCGCTATCTTCCTCTTCTTGTAATTTTAACAATCAAATTTACGAAGAATTCAACAAAGAGAGATGCAAAAGACACGTAAGATTGGACTATATTATTTTCTAAGAGCTAAGATTGAACATTTCATTAGTTAAATTAATGTAACTTTGTAAATATTAAAAAATTTAATTATAATACGAAACCTGGGAACCGAATAAAATGAAACCTAACCAAACCAAATGGAACGGAACCCAAACGGTTCCATAATTAAATTTAGACCTAACGATTCCACTTACTAAATACTTGAAAATTTCAGATCCTGTTAACCGAATCGAACCATATCCAGACCTATGTAGAACATAAGAATGAGTTTGATTTGTTATTTTAGGTCATTTTCAGTTTTCAGTTTTTGAAACCACTCAAAACATGTTTGGCATATTATTTTCAAAAATGTGGTTTTGAAAACAAGGAAATCTTATAACACAACTTAAAACGACGTTTTGACATTTTTGAGTTTGAAAACACTCAAAAAACTCAAACCAAGGAAAATGAGTTCAAAAATTTTCCAAATTAAAATAATTAATAAAAGCGCACAAAACTTACCCAAATACAAATACTCCTCTCCCTCTCCCTCTCCCTCTCCCTCTTCCTCTCCCTCTCTCTTCCCATACTCCTCAAAAATGTCATAAAACTATTTCTAAATTTTTTAAACCAAACAAGTTTTCTAATTTTTTGTTTTGAGAAATTGTTTTTTAAAATGACAAACCAAACACTTTTTCTGTAACCTTGAAATAATCTCTCAAAAAAAAAAAAAAAAAAAAAAAAAAAAAAAAAACCAAACCCCACGCTAAGTATCTCCTTTTAGAAAAGGTAACATTTTCTTCACAGTTCACAATGAAAAACCAAAAGGTAGAATTAGAGGCTATGGATTTGAAAAGAACAGGACTAGTGAAGAAAAAGATGAGATAGGAGCTGCAACCAATTAAATTGTCGCAAGTTATCATTGTGGATGTAAGAATTATAAGAAAATTTCAGCCCTCATTCGACAGTTCCACAGGGGAATTTTACTTGATATTTTATTTTTCTTTTGAACTTGTGATGTGTGAGGGTGGGGCTACAGAAGCCCCAATCAGTTGCAAATATAATTTCTCTCTGCCACAGTAATCTAGAAACATTAAACATGAAGTAAACAAAAAAAAAAAAAAAAAAAAAAACCCAATCGCACGCTAAGTATCTCCTTTTAGAAAAGGTAACATTTTCTTCACAGTTCACAATGAAAAACCAAAAGGTAGAATTAGAGGCTATGGATTTGAAAAGAACAGGACTAGTGAAGAAAAAGATGAGATAGGAGCTGCAACCAATTAAATTGTCGCAAGTTATCATTGTGGATGTAAGAATTATAAGAAAATTTCAGCCCTCATTCGACAGTTCCACAGGGGAATTTTACTTGATATTTTATTTTTCTTTTGAACTTGTGATGTGTGAGGGTGGGGCTACAGAAGCCCCAATCAGTTGCAAATATAATTTCTCTCTGCCACAGTAATCTAGAAACATTAAACATGAAGTAAACATCCCCGAGAAGCAGGTTACGCATCAAAATGTGTGGTTTAATCCAAAAATATTTCCTGTCTCTAACACATATGGAGAGAGAAATATAATATCAAATAGATGAAGAAACACCCAGTTAGTTGAAGATAAAAGCAAGAAAGAATACAGTAAGCAGTCACAGACTCACAATTGTGCATCAAAAGTTGTATACCATATTCTAAAACTACGGACCAAATGTATGGGTACAAAAAATTAAGCAAGATTTTATTCTATACTATTGTACTCTAAGCTTCGAAGCTTGTAGGGGTAGATAGGTTTTATAGGAACTCAACGATCCTATTTGGTCAAATACCTTACATTGATTTACCATTTATATTTTATGAATCTTTATTTTTATCCGAAAGAAAAGGGATGATTACATCCATTTTTTGCTTCAAATTCACTCTACTGACTCAAGCTATACTGTTTATAATCCAGTCAGAACAAGGTACAAGCCTTGCAGCATAACATACACCACTAATCCATCATACAATAAGCTTGAAATTCTAACCTAGCTCCACCAAAACTACTTTAATTAATCTTATTTCTTAACATTTAAGCTCATCTCCAGCCCATGGCACCAAATTGTTGCAACTTCCACACCATCTTGCCAAGTCATCTCCAACCCATTACACCAAATGAATATTGTTTCCTTGCTTTTCAATTCTCAATTAATTTATTTTAAAAAATATCTAATCACAAATTATATTACTTCTAAAATTACTAAGAACATATTTGAGCCCCATTTTGATTGAAAGGTGCATTTTGGATTAGTAAATTTATGGAGAATTTGTGGTTAAAAAATAAGGTAAAGTTTTGGATTTGCGTGTAATAATATTTTATTGTAGAATCTGTGATTAAAAAGAGGAAAGAGAAAAATGCATTTTAGAATTGGTGGGGATTAAACAAGGGCTAAATTAAAAATTACATTTAATTAACTAAAATGTTGCATTCATTAATAAATAAATAAATACACTTTATACTACAAGTTTAAAAATACATTTAACACGCAGAATATAAATTACATATAATTAAAAACTTTCACAAAAGAAACATAAATCACAATTAGTTTCGTCAATTAATTATCAAATTTGTAACTTTTGAATTTTAATGAATTCAATAGTTATTATTTATTATTTGATTACAATTTATTATAAATGTTAATAAAAATAATAACCAAAGTAACAAAAAATATATATAAATTAAATTAAATTAAATTATTAAATATTAAAAGGATATAATAGGAGTTAAAATTTGTTGTGGTATTAAATGGAGGGCAAAAGGAGAATATGAAAAACTGTAAATTCACACCAACTAAACAGCCAATTTGGTGTGTTGATACATTGTTGGGTTGGAGTGAGTGTTTTGCTCCAATTCGGCGCTAGGGATGGAGATGCCCTAAGTAAAACCCAGATCTCTATAATCATCTACCAATTTTCTACATGTATAGAAATGGTAGAATCAAAATGTCAAAGGCAAATCAATAACCCGAAAAATTGCATAGCAGTAAAATAATACCTTGTGGTGATGAACACTGTTGAGATAGACTGTGTAATCATGGGCAAGTTTCAATTTTTGTGGGTTCTCAGAATTGATATTATTTCTGAATTCTTGCTTGATGAAATCAGTGAAATGGGAATTATGCTCTTGTTTTCCAACGTGCTTCCTCACTGCTTTCAGAAGGTCCCTGTACACCATCTTCCCTGTTCTATTTAGGCCTTGAAACGATGAACCCATTTCTCCCTATCCTCTTCCTTTTATTTTCTGATTTTCCCAACAAAATGAGTAGAAGTTATTCTTATTGTTGGTGCGTCAATTGGGCTTTACACAGAAATCTCGGTGGTTCGTTTCCGATGAATCCCACGACAGTAAAAGCTATCAAGATTTTCTCATTTCAAATTCTTCCATAGTCAGAATAAAACGTATTTCAATAACAAAATTACGATACAAAATCTGAAAGAGGGAAAAAGGAAAGGTAAAATTACTGACCTGGGTACCGTCAGATTATTTGCGATTGACGAGTTGGGGTCGGTAGGGAATAGTGGTGCGGCTGGTAGAAACTGGTTTAAATAATTAAACAAAAAGTAGAAAATGAAAAAGTGTGAAAAAGTGGAAAATGAAAATGTGTAATTATATGTCAATTTCGATCAAATATTCGGATATGATCCAATGGTCAAATTACAAAAGTAAATAAATCAACTTATTCTATTCGTCAAGTAGATCGTCATGATATATTTGGAATCTCGAAATCAATTCCGGATGAATGAGACATTGCAGGCTAAAATTGGAAGAAATAAAGTGTTGCAACTTTTCGAAAGGATGTAAGTTTTGGTCAAGTATTGTAACTTTTCGAAAGGATGCATATTTTGGCCCACACTATTTCATTTGCACCATTTCTATATCTATAAATAGGATCCTATGGACATGATTTTGGGTACACCAATTGTATTGAGTATTCATTTTCTTCTTGCAACTTTCTACTTTCTAATTACATAGCATTTTCATGCATTTCCTTTGTGGAGGGAAAATTCTCTCAAAAGTTCGTAGGTTTCTTGTGGTTCGAAGTGCTGCTGCCAAAAATAGTGAATTCATTGTATCTTGGGAGAAAAGTGTCATTCACCGTGAGCTCCGTAGCGGGGCAATTTATCTTAAGGAAAGAAATAACGTCTCTTCTTAAATTATTCTCTATTTCTACTCCTTCTTAATCTTTGTTTTGCGTAATTGTTATACCGAAACTCTATCTAAATTTCCATTCATATAAATTGTGTTTTGATCACCCTCTTGCGGGTTAAAACTTGTCAAAAAAATATATCAAAAATCAACCCTTACATAACATTTTTTATAAGTCGTCTCTAGCAAATTTAAGACAAATTTTTGAGTCTTTGTGATTGGTTGTGAACAACAATTATTTTGTTTGAATAGTGCTTTGTGTACTATTCCTCTATTGATATTATCATCATTTTTTTGAACTTCTGTTTGTGTAACAGAAATGACTACCATCAGGATTTCGTTAAGTCAAAATTGTTGCAATAATGTGGTACCACCCGTGGCCATACCGTTGCATAATACTACCATCCCACATGGGGAAAAGTCGGAAAAATTTGCAGGAGTAGACTTCAAGAGGTGGCAACAAAAGATGTTTTATCTCACCACTCTTAATTTGACTAAATTTCTAAAGCAAACTATACCTGGTGTACAAGAAGGGAAAAATAATCGTAAATCGATTATTGTTTTGGATGCATGGAAACACTCGAACTTCCTATGCAAGAACTATATCCTAAACGGATTGGATAATACACTATATGGGGTGTTCAAAAGAATCAGCAAAGGAACTATTTGATTCTTTGGAGACAAAGTTCAAGATCGAGGATGCCTAACAAAGAAGTTCATTGTTGGCAAATTTTTGGACTTCAAGATGGTGGATTCCAAAACCGTGATTAGTCAAGTGCAAGAGATTTAAGTCTTGTTGCACGACATCCATGCAAAGAAAATGGAATTGAGTGAATCATTTCAAGTGGTTGCCATTATTGAGAAAACCCTCCTATGTGGAGAGATTTCAAAAATTACCTCAAGCACAAACGTAAGAAAATGAATTTGGAAGAATTGATTGTGCGCTTGAGGATTGAAGAGGACAATCTGAGAATTGAACGAAGGTCAATTGATCAAGATGGTGCAAATTTTGTTAAAATGGAACCAAAGGCAACAGGTAAGAAACGAAAGGCTCCTAATTATGCACCGTGAAGAGACAATTCCAAAAAGGCTAAGAAGTTCAAAAGGAATTGTTACAACTATAGCAAGGCTGGACATCGTTCAAGTGAATGTCGAAAACCAAAGAAAAATGCTCAAACCCACATGATTGCAAATAACACTCTATCCGATGATTGCAAAAAATGAGTTTATCTGCAGTAGTGTCCGAATGCAATATTATTGGAAATACTAAAGAATGATAGATTGACACCAGCACTACCCGCCATGTGTGTGCAAACAAGACAATGTTCTCCAACTATCAAGAATTGAATGGGAGACAATTATACATAGGAAATTTTGCAGGTTCCAAAGTTGAAGGAAAAGGCAAAGTCACTTTTAAGATGACATCTAGGAAAGAACCCATCCTCAACAATGTCCTACATATGCTGGATATATGAAAGAATTTAGTGTCCGGGTCTCTACTTAGTAAGAATGGTTTTAAACTTGTATTTGTATCCGATAAATTTGTATTGTCTAAGAATGAAATGTATGTAGGGAAATGATACATGCGTGATGAAATGTTCAAGTTGAACATTCTTACAATTGCACCGAAGCAAGTCGTTATGAATAAAACTATAAATTCTGTTTACTTGCTTGAGCCTTTATGTTTGTGATATAGTCGATTAGGACGTGAATTACAAGTCATTGCGCAAACTAATGAATCAAAGTTTAATTCAGGCGCATAAAATTAATCATAATCATAAATGTGAAATATGAGATGAAGCAAAATTGGTTAAAATATCATTTCATTCAATAAAAAGAAACACAACCCTTATTGAATTGATCTATAACGATATATGCGATCTAAAATTTGTACAAACTCGAGATAGTAAAAAATATTTTATGACATTTATTGATGATTGTACAAAGTTTTGCTATGTCTTTCTTTTGAGAAGTAAAGACGAAATCTTAGATGCATTCAAAACCTATAAAGCTGAAGTTGAAACACAACTTGAAAAACAAATAAAGAATATTCGTAGTGATAGAGGAGGTGAATATGAGGCACCGTTTGAAGACTTTTGTTCTGAACATGGAATTGTTCATCAAACATCAACACCTTACTCTCCTCAATCAAATGGTGTTGCAAAATGCAAAAACCAAACACTTAAAGAAATGATGAATATCATGTTAATAAGTTCGGGTTTACCACAGAACATGTGGGGAGCTATTTTAACGACAAATAGTCTTTTTAATAAAATACCTCTTAAGAAAATGGAAGAGATACCATATGAACTATGGAAAGGCCATCCTCCATCCTACCAATACTTGAAAGTGTGAGGGTATTTGGTTAAGGTTGAGGTACCTAAGCCTAAACAAGTGAAAATCGGTCCTAAAACGATAGATTGCATATTTATTGAATACGCCAATAATAGTAGTGCATATCGAATTCTTGTACACAAATCCAAAATACAAGATGTACACGAAGGGACCATAATTGAATTAAGGAATACGACATTCTTTGAAAATATTTTTCCTTGCAAAGATAAGGATAATATGAGTTCTAACAAGAGAACATATGAAACTACCAATGGAATTTCAAATGACGAAGAACCAAGGCGTAGTAAAAGGACTAGAACTTCCAAGATATTTGGCACAGATTTTCTAACCTATAACGTAGAGGAAGATCCAAAGACTTTCGATGAAGCAATGTCTACACCGGAAGCACCGCATTGAAAAGAAGCTATCAGTAATGAGATAGATTCTATAATACAAAACCATACATGTGAGTTGATTGATTTACCTCCTGGTAATAAGCCTTTAGAATGCATATGGATATTCAAAAAGAAATTGAAACCTGATGGATTCATTGATAAATATAAGGCTAAATTGGTTGCTAAAGGATATAGACAAAAAGAAGGACTTGAATTCTTTGTTACCTACTCACCCGTGACTAGAATCACGTCGATAAGGTTGTTAATTGCAATTGCGGCAATACACAATCTTGAGATTCATCAAATGGATGTAAAAACAGTATTCTTAAACAGTGAGTTAGAAGAGGAGATTTACATGGAGCAACATGAAGGGTTCGTTTCTCCTAACCAAAAACACAAAGTGTGTAAACTTGTTAAGTCCTTGTATGTATTAAAACAGACTCCTAAACAATGGCACCAAAAATTTGACAAAACAATGTTGTCAAATAGATTCAAGATCAACGAATGTGACAAATATTATATATATATATATATAAACATACACCAAATACCTATGTAATTGTATGTCTATATGTGGACGACATGTTAATAATGAGCAATAGTCACGAAATGTTGCTTAACACCAAAAAAATGCTAACAAAGCATTTCAACATGAAAGATATGGTGTGACAGATGCAATCCTAGGAATTAAAATCTCTAGAACGCAGGATGGAATTGTACTTTCACAATCTCACTACATAGAAAAAGTACTTAAAAAGTTTGACGTGTTTGAGGAAAGTCATGCGAGAACTCCTCTTGATCCGAGTATGCACTTAGTCAAGAATACGGAAGAAAACATATCACAACTAAGGTATTCACAAATAATTGGCAGTCTTATATATATTACAAACTGTACTCGACCAGATATTGCTTTTGCGGTGAATAAATTTAGTAGATTTACAAGTAATTCAAACCGTGATCATTGGAAGGCTTAGACGAGGATTCTAAGGTATTTGAAGTATACCTTAACCTATGGATTACACTTCACAAAATATCATGTGGTATTATAAGGATATTGTGATGCAAATTGGATATCCGATATGAAGGATTCCAAGTCCACTAGTGGTTATATATTCACCATTGGCGGAGCTGCTTTATCATGGAAATCAACAAAGCAAACGTGCATAGCTCGATCAATGATGGAATCTAAGTTTATTGCTTTGGACAAAGTTGGAGAAGAAGCAGAATGACTTCGAAATTTCTTAGAAGATGTTCTATGTTGGCCGAAGCTAGTACCTGCGATAAGTATACATTGTAATAGTCAATCAGCAATTGGAAGGACTCGAAGCAACATATATAATGGTAAGTCTAGACATATTTGTCGTAGACACAACACCATTAAGCATCTGATCTCAAATGGCATTATCTCCATAGATTATGTGAAATCAAAAGAGAATATTGCGGATCTACTTACGAAAAGTTTGCCTAGAGATCAAATGCGTTGTCTTTCGAGAGGAATGAGATTAAAGCCTACTACGTAAGAGTTTTTGCAATGGTAATCCTACCTTGTTGGCTAGAGATCCCAAGATCTTGGTTCAAAGGGACAACTAAGTTGTGAAAATTCCATGAAGCACTTAGGTAATTAGAATTCCTAACTCATTCTTATGATACTAAAGTGCTTTCTGCAGAGAGGATAAAGGCTAAGATTATCTTTTGATGATTCCTATATCTTGATTAAGTCAAGTGAAGAAGGACAGACTACTCTTAATAGGAGGTCACCTATGTAAGTGTGAAGTGGGGCCGCTTCGATAAGAATTGTTTAAGGTTTGAATTCTCTAAACACTTATGAAACCAAGAAGGGTTCAGGACCAAAATATCTGTGTGGGTACTGTTGTCTTGACTTACACCAAAGGCTGAGTGGTTCAAGACCTATAGTTTACCAATTAGTCGAGTAAGTCCGATAGTATTTCACTAAGGGAGGTTCAAGGCCAGAAGCCACCATCCGTAATGCAGTATTTTTTTGCATCCTCTCTACATTGCATCATATTATCACATTTACATATGCGTACCCGAATTTTCATTCATGTGGGGAATTGTAGGAATTGGTTCAAATAATTAACCAAAAACTGGAAAATGAAAAGGTGTGACTACGTATCAACTTCGACTAAATATTCAGACTTGATCTGATAGTCAAATTACAAAAATAAATAGACCAACTTATTCTACTCATCGAGTAGATCGTCGTGGTATATTTGAAATCTCGATACCAATTCCGGATGAATGAGAAATTGCGAACCAAATTTGAAAGAAATGAAGTGTTGCAACTTTTCGAAAGAATGCAAGTTTTGGCCAGGTGTTGCAACTTTTTGAAAAGATACATATTTTGGCCCACACTACTTCATTTGCACCCTTTCTACATCTATAAATAGGACCATATGGATATGGTTTTGGGTATACCAATTGCATTGAGCATTCATTCTCCTCTTGCAATTCTCTCCTTTCTAATTTCATAGTATTTTCATGCATTTCCTTTGTAGAGAGGAAATTCTATCAAATGTTCGTCGACTTCTTGTGATTTGAAGTGTTGCTACCACAAGTTGTGAATCCATTATATCTTGAAAGACAAGTGTCATTCACCGTGAGCACTGTAGCGGGGCAATTTGTCTTAAAGAAAAAGATAACGTCTCGCCTTGGATTATTTTCTATTTCTACTCCTTAATCCTTGTTTGGCATAATCGTTATACTGAAACTCTGTCCAAATTTTCATTCATATAAATTGTGCGCTCTTGCGAGTTAAATCTGGTCAAACAAATATATCAAAAATCAACCCCTACATAGCCCTTTTTATAAGTCGTCTCCAACATGGCTAGCCGAAGGTGGAGGTGCTTGTTGAGGCCACTAGATTGAAGATTGTGGAAACGAGTTCGAATGGCCATCATTCCACGGGTTATTTTTTAAAAGAGGCAAATCAAAAAAAATCAATTTTTAACTTAAGCCAAAAAAATTTGCCATTCATCGTAATGGCCTTTTTTAATTGAAAGACATGAATACCCTTAAATAATTTATACAATTACAAAGAGATAATTTTGTTTAAAAAGACAAGAATACCCTTAAGTTACAAAGTAGAAATCAAACACTTCATACTTAAAATTTTAAAACGAAGCCACTTTCTTTATTTGTTTACTTCAACACAAATATAAGTTGTTTAATTTCAACCTTGAAACCTTTTAAATTTATCAAACGCTCATCAAAAACAAATTATTTCTATCCATCACTTCGAAAATGGATAAATATATTTACATACTTTTATTTTCATTTTTGTTGAATTAATAAATTATTTTAATTGTTAAATCTTATTTTTACATACATAAATAAATTTTTACAAGTTTAAACAGATCTATAATTTTTTTTAAAGAAAAAGGAAAAATTCATCTGCATAATTAACAACCAGTCGAAAACAACCAACCCGATTCCTGGGAAGGTTGAAACAGCGGCCCAATGTATGAGCCGACTATTTCCAGCCGATCAAATTCGGCTGGCTGGAAACAGATGACTGGGCTGATTGCTGGTCCGAGTGGCTTTTCTTCTCCTCTTTTATCATCTCATTATACTTTTTTAACAAATTATATTTTCCAATGTAAATACGAAAACAGCCGCAATCCCTTTGTTGCTTTCATGAATTTGAAATGAACGAAAATGATCGATGGATGTGAAAATGGACGAGTGAAAGACTTGATGCTACTGTAATTGTGATAAGATCAAGTACATCGTATGCGGAAATATTCCACAATTTACATAACAAACTCAACGTTGATCCCTCTCTGTAAGACTTGGAATTGGGATTTCTAGTGTAAATACAAAAGTAATAAATAGAAAGGACCAACTCTGCAAAAAAAGATTAAAATAGGGTTGTAAATACCAAATTTAAAACGATAGGGACGATTTACATAATGAATGCAAGCGGTATGGATGTTTTGTGCTAATTCCCCCCTTTTTTTGTCCTCTCCATCATATCATGTATCTATATATGGGCAATAATAACCCAACTCCCAATAGAAGGCATGTAGTGAGAAATGTGTAAAATATGGTCGTTAAATGGGATAAAAGTTGAGGAAATCGCATTTGAAACAAAATATTAGACCTAGTCTTGCCAATCAACCATATCACCCAACAATCAATACATTTCCAAACAATTTGAATTTCAATTTAAATTGCTCCTCTCTCTCTCTCTCTCTCTCTCTCTCTCTCTCTCTCTCTCTCTCACGTGGTTCCTTATCTCTCTCTTCTTCTTCTTCTTCTTTTCTTTTTTTTCTTTTTTAAACTCATTTAAAATATAATTTAAGACTATATCTTTCAACTTTGATAACTTAGGTTTCCACTAATTCAAATTAACTTTTTTTTTAGCCTAATATGCATATTTAATTACGATCTATCCAATATTCATATACTTATTATTGCTCGATCAATATCTAAATATATTACCCAATTAAAATTTACTTCATATGTACTTTAATCCCTAAACTTTCAAAACATTAAAATATAGCATACCAAAAAAATTAAATTCTATTCTACAAAAATTTCGAGATATTACATATGCCAAATGTTAACTCAATGCAAAAAATCGTAAAGAATTCGCTCATCTAGCACAACAAATTGCTGTTTTAGCATATTCGACTTCAAATGCTTCTAAAGCCTCCAAATCAAGTTTAAGATCAGAGACTGAAGTGATGCCGAAGACAATGGAGATAATTGTTATAAGATAATAAATATAGATAATTTTGTTGATGACCAATAACTCAAAAATTTCAAAAGCAATGGAATAAGAAATAATTGTCCTTCAAACTTTGCAACAAGTAACAGATATAATTATTATCCTTCAAAATCAGATATAACAGTCCTTCAAAAGCATATATAATCGTCATTTATCATTCAAAAGCAAATGGCTGACAAACCTTTTGAAAAAGAAGATGGCCGACAGTCCTATCAAGATTCCTTCAAACACACACAAAAAAAAAAATAATAATAATAATAAAATAAAATAAAATAATCCAAGACATGTATAAGAAGAGAAACTTTTCAAAAAGAGAGGTAGAGTGTAATTTCAAAAATAATAATAATAATAATAATAATTCTCTCTGTATTGCATCATCTATATTTTAAATTTTGCTTAATCTTCCATTACAATCTTTTTCAATAGTTGTCTTGTAGCTTTACAGTGTTCCAACTTCCAGAAAATGTTTTTTAACATACAAAGGGTATAGTGGTTGGATTATAAATGACGTATTAAACTATAATGGTTGATGATAATTGATAATTGATAATTGAGTTAATTTCACCGATCGCAACTACATTTTCTGTAGAATTTCAAATTAGTCGTTAAATTATTTTCTCGCCCTTTTGGCCATTAACCGAGCGTGCTCTATATATATATATATATATATACATTTTTTTTTTTTTTAAATGATGCCCTCACCTCCCCATTCAAACCCTTTTCCCCACTCAAAAACTTGCATTTTACATAGCCAAACCTTTTATTTTTCTTTATTTAAGGAAACTTATAGTTCCACAGTCGTTCATTCAATTATTAAAAGTAACATTTGAATTTTCTTAGAAAAAAATATTTAGAAATTCCATGCAAAAGGCTAGAATTTTACCTAAGCCGTCATTTTGAATATGAGTCATCGCTAAGGTAAAATGACAAAGGTTTTTAGTACAACGATTTGTAGTTGACAGAAGAATCGGCATCGTTTAGTTCACCTTAGCCCTTAACAGATTCCACAACAAATCAGACATTAGTACTAATAAATGAGCAATCAATCCTGACTTTGCGAATAATTCAACGACAGTTAAGGTTGGAATACTTTGAAATTTTGTACAAACTGCAGTGACGATTGGTGGAATTAACTCTCGATAATAAGTGCAAGGAAAAACATAACATTCTACTTTCTTGACAATCTTCTCAAAGATCAAAATGTATTACGTGGAAGAAATCTCTCTCAACCTCCCTCCATAACTTAATGCAAAACCCATTCAGATGGGCAAAGTCACTGGCAAACCCGGCAATAGTTATAAAAATCCTACAACAATTTGGTATATCAAAAAACCTAGCAAAAATGTCCACTTCTAGCAGCACTGCATCTTCAAACCAAAGTAGAGTCACAAAAACCTACACCGCTGCCGGCAACTTTGTCCGGCTGCTCCCCACCGGAACCGTCTTCATTTATCAGTTCCTCAACCCCTTGTTAACCAACAACGGCAAGTGTCACATTGTTAACAAGTACTTATCTTCCATACTCATATCCCTTTGTGGGCTTTCGTGTATTTTAACTACGTTCACCGACAGTTATACCGACAGCCAAGGGAAAACACACTATGGTATTGTAACAAGAAAGGGCATGTGGGTTCCTACTGATAATGCAGGCTCACAAGATCTGTCATCTTATAGGCTTCAATTAGGCGACTTTATTCATGCTTTGTTTGCAATTTTTGTTTTTGCTGTTGTGGTTTTATTAGACCCCAATTCAATGGACTGCTTTTTTCCTGCATCATTTAGGTCTACACAGAAGACTTTGCTTACAGTATTGCCTGTAGCAATTGGGGCAGTTTCTGGTTCTGTTTTTGTGGCTTTCCCTTGCGACCGACATGGATTAGGGTATCCTAACAAAAGCCCGGCTTCAAGTTCTACCCCGGCTTCTTCAGCACAATCCTAGAAATATAAACCGTTTTCTTACTTTCCTATGCATACATGGCATCTGTTATCGCACATTAACCCATTGTACTATATATATTATAGAATACAATGTTGGTTTTACGAATAAATTCTACTTAAAAAGACCAACCAAATGGCCACTAAATCATATAAATAGTAGCCACTATCACAGATGCATAAATAGAAATATTAGAATTTACAAATGACAAAAAATCCAAACATACTTGTTCTCTAGAAGTGTACATATGAAGGCAGGCATTTTGAAACATATCTGAAGCTGGAGAGTCGCACTTTGCTTTATCAGTGAAATTATCATAATCTGCTCCATGGTTCAAAGAAAACCGCGATTAGAATATGATTAATCAAATCAACCACCAAAATAATTTGACCAAAAAAGCAACACATCAATAGGAAGAATTGTTATCAATGTTTATTCTTCATATTTTTCTTCTTTCCGTCTTGGAAAAATTCCTGTTGATTTCATGATTTTATTAGATGGGTAACCTTAAAGAGAGCAAACCTACGAGGAAGCATTGTTTACAAAGGAAAAAGGAAGCAAAAATGGCTTAAAATTCAGCCATTGCCAAGCCAAGCTATCCTAGTTAAGTGTAGGATAGCTTTTGAAAATTATTTTTTGCTCACTATAAACACCGTATCTATATTCGTTGACTTCCATGGGAACTGCCATCAAACTCAGCATATTCTTCAGTGGAATTATACTGAGGAAGTCTATTCTCAACAACTTCATGTAATCCAATGCCACACAGTAAAATAAAGTGGCATGTGCCTAGCTTGACAGTTTCTGCCAAATAAAAAATTGGGCCTAATTTTTGAAAGAGTGGGGACATGAATGCCTCAGTATAGATACGGACTCCAAGTGCTAAATGTCTCAAAGGTTGAAGACCCCATTGTAACTTGCTCGTAAAATAATTAATCTCGGCAGATCCACTTGTGTCCAAAAATGAGTAAAAATGCTACAAATCAAATGCAAACTTGGAGATTCTAGGAGTGATTTCTTAAAAATAATTGTCATCCTATCTTTACCTTCTTTAATAGACTCTGCATCAAGCATTCAGACTCAATAGAGTTGCTATATAAATTGTTAGATATTAATTCGTTAATCCCAAAAAACAAACTCTCCTTGAGTCCCAGATTTTGAACAACCATAACTGCTACGAGCACGTTCATTCCAGAGGGCAATAACATGTTCTAGTTCTTGCTTGTTTGTCTTCCCTTGACCCTTTGATCTTATAATATCCCAGAGCGCCACCACGATCACAATTTTTTTTCTTTTAGTTGCTTATAGGACCAAGAATAGCCTCCACTAATCCATTATTTATCCAACTAAAATCATCATTAGGAACACATTATTCCCCAATTGAAAAATTGAATAGAAACCAAGTCATAAAACCCTCTATAGTTCACGTCCAGTAACACAAGATGAAAAAACTGGAGCTTTGGGCTAGAATAACACGAAGGTGCCAAGAAGGTTTAAACATGTATCAGCATTTCCTTCCTCAAAACAAATGCAAGAGAATCTTCTTCAGTTCTCATCCTTTATCAACATGTGCAGGTTGATAACAAAATTATTCAACTGTTCAATCACTTGACTCTTGTCAAAAGACATATAATCAGCAAAAGAAACTAAAAAGAGGATTTCAACATGGAGATTAGGAGGAACAATTTCCCAAGAATCCCTGGTGGCTACATTCAGAATGCATGAAATCAATGAGCAAAATACTACATATGATATGCCAGCTTGGAGAGGAAAAGAAAGTAACTCAGATCAGGATTACTTCATTTTTTTTCTAGAAAAAGAAAAGATGTTGACGGCTTGTGATACAAAAAGCACCAGCTCAGGTAAATTCTCTTCTGCACAGATTATCTAAATTCAGGATGGCCTCACATGCTGCTGTATAAGCCAAGCCAAGAGAGCTGGCACTAACATAGCAGCCATAACTCAATAAAACAAAGAAACGCAGTCCACCAACAACCTTCCTTTCATGAGAACATGTCATTAGTATTTACATATACTGGAAGCATAACTATTAAGACTGAATCCATAAATAGCATTCACAGCATGTCTTTGGAATCAATGAAATAAAAGAGCAACCGGCCTCTCTTAAAGGTCACACGGAAGTGTTGCATGCTATAATATCATGTCATATAGTCCTAAGTACTATAGAATAGGTATAAAATAATTCTTCTTAAGAGTATATCTATTTATAAGAATCGGTACTCGTTTTGGTTCTTCCATTCAATTTTAACTTTACGGTAGGAAAGATGGGAATCCAGGAGTGATTCCTCGTAAATATATTCTTCTTTCCATTCTTCACGCTATTCTCTGCAGTATCAAGCCTTTAGACTCAACCAATTTATTACTTGCCAATCTAAAATTGTTCAAAAATCAACTCCTAAACCCATAGTATTTCATGTCCAATATCACTATGAAAAAGGTGAAGCCTCAGACTAGGACACAGGTCCTAAGAAGGATTTAAACAAGTACCAGCATTTCCTTTTATAAAACTAATGTAAGAACCCATAAACCTTCTTCAAGTCTTATCCTTTACCAACACTAGTGCAGTGTGAAAGCATAATTTATATGACTTACAATCAATCATACACTATGAATAAAGAGATGCAATCATGACGGATAATAATAATAATAATAATAATAATAATAATAATAATAATAATAATAATAATAATAATAATAAATAAATAAATAAATAAATAAATAAAATAATAAAATAAAAAATAAAAATTGATATGCAATCATGACTTAAATAACGTGTCTGGCAGGGTAAATAACCCAGACGACACTTTCAACATAGAGAATTGATAAACCGTTTCCTGAGAATCCCAATTGGCTACATTGAATGGACGATGTGAAAGGCTCAAAACTTGGCATAATAAAGAAAACCTCTAATCATCCCAAAAAGACCTCTCGAATGACAAACAAGACATATAGTTATTTTGTATGCCCATGTTTGAGCCCCATTCTTTTTACAAGAATGAATTTTTGACTAATGTGTTGATGGAAAATGTGTGTTTAAAAAATAAAAAAATAAAAAGTTTTGAATTTGCATTTAATATTATTTTATTGAAAAATGTGCAGTCAAAATACTGTTTAAAAATGTATTATTTTCAAAGAATGGGGCTCAAACAGGGGCTATATAAATCATAATGTTAAAAAACTGAAACAGTAGGCATTCACCAGCGTGCCCATGCAGGTGCGTGAGCACAGAGATATATATATATATATATATATATATATATATATAGAGAGAGAGAGAGAGAGAGAGAGAGAGAGAGACATACTTGATTCAATTTGGGAATGTATAGCTTAGCCCTGGTGTGAAAGAGCCTTGATGAACAAACTGCGAAATTAAAATAAACAATGAATATTGATTTCTGATTGATGTTGATACTTCATCAAAGATATCATATGCTCTAAATATATAACGCCAACAAAGAAAATTCAAAACTTACCTGTGTATCAGATCCAAGCTGAGTTCCATAAGTTACCTGTGTATCAGAACTAAGCTGAGTCCCAACCATATCCTTCTTCCCAGATCCATCACCACCCCGGGCAGATCCCTTGGCGTCACCCTGAAAATTCATGACAGCTATCACCACATGGATAACTAAACGAAGTTAAAAGGAGCAGTAGATGATGTGAAGTAAAATGCTGATATACATACCTCCAACTGTAACATCATAGCCATTCCACGAAATGATCAAACAAAAAACAAAAAAGAGTGTTAATAGTCAGGTTGAAGCCAATCACTCGTTTAAAACTTCAAAGTTGAATAAATGCGAATTTCTGAATAGCAACCAAAGAGAGGTCAAATGAACTAGTGAAACACAGAACAAACAAGTTGATTCCTTTTCCTTTTTTTTCCTTAACTTTACCAGGCCTAACAGCGAACAAATGCGGTAACAGTAATGGCTCAAATTTCAGGAGGAAAAAAAAGGACATGAGAGATTTGCAACTACCTCTCTGTACCTAGCCAAATAGGCCTTGAGTGGAGCAATGTAATCTTCAAAACCTAAAGTTGCCATTGCCCAGAGCAAATCATCCCCATTAACAGTTTTCCTTTTCTCTTTTTGACACTTGTCGCTTGCTCTACACAACATAACAAATTGCTGTCATCAAATTCAAAAAACATTAAATTTCAAATATCACATCAGTTTAATCAACTTAGCACAACAGTCATAATAAATAATTATATAGATACATTCGAACGTACATAAATATACAGTTATAAATATAGAATGATACATATATTGGGGGGGTGTGTGTTTGCATGCACATAAAATGCTTAATAATGCATTGAACTATTCAGGGAATCACACAGTATCTAGTCGCTCCACTTGCCAGCATCAATTTATGTCCCCATGACAAAGTCATCTGTTCAGTAAAAGCATCTCAACAAAATCTAAATATAACCAAAGAGAAGCAAACATTTTCCCCAACCCACCAAAAAAAAAAAAAAAAATTTACAAACCCATGTAACTTCTTGGGAGACTAATCTTCAAATTTTATCCAGTAAACCCAAGATCTCTAAATAGTTGTAAAGTTTTGTAAATTGTATCTCAGTTTCAACATGAGTTTCTTCATTGACTAATTTTTATAGTGAAAACAGCATCAACATTTTTCCATGAGTTTCAAGAAGACGGCTTACAGTTCTAACCTCCAAATCATCCTCAACAAAATCAACCCAGGAATTGACCAGTGGTGAGGTCTTTTGATGCCACAGTCATCAATTTTAATTCCACTTGTTCTAAATTCCCTAGTAAAGCAGTGGATATCCCCCCATAAAAAGTTCCCTCCTCCGTCACTCTCTTGATGTTTGAAAAACTTTCTATCCATTCATGAAGAATATCATTGGCCAAAATATCACTTTCACATCTAGATGATAAATTTTCCAAATCAATGTTAGCAATAAAACATTGAGGAAGAGATGAAAATTAATTTTAGTGTAGATACAACAATTGAATGCTCAAGCAGTTAAAACTGCATTAATCAACAAACTTCAATTTAATAGAAACATAACATATGAGGAAATATTTACACGTAATTTACTCGAGCAAAGCCCAAAATTCCAACAATCTCCCACTCGAGCTGCACAAGTCACATTGTCACAAAATTAAATTACCAGGTGCAACAGAATGAGTGATTACTCATATTTAAACTGCAACCCCATTATTTTTTTATTCAATAACTTTCACCTATTTATGGAGAATGCAAATTTTAAACTACATAATTAAACGAGCAAGCAACCGGCTAAGAATCAAGGAATGGACATAATTAATTGTTTACCATTTACATTGAATTCCCGCCAATAAGCTATAAATGCATCTTCAAAGTAAAGGACAAAGCTTGAAAAATGAAGTAATCTTTCTTCGAAGTGAAAAGATGAAGTCAAAAAAATAAAAAATAAAAAAGGGACGTCCATACTATACAGTTGACTCCAAAAAGTGATAAACCAAATACAGTAATTTAATGGATAAAGTGATCGTGCTGATATGACAGTTCTCACCACGATCATATGCTGGTTGTTCTCGACATCCATTATCTCACACTAGAGATCTCATCAAATGGGTAAATACTTCGAGGGTAGTTTATGGAGAATATACAGTTAAAATTCTCAAATTTGTAGATTAAGTGTCAAGCTATTTTCACACCTGATCTATGCCACCTCAGAATGTTATTTGGGTTCCAATTGTTTGCTCGACTTCATAAAATTCCATATTCAAAAAATATCCAATAAAATAAGGTCACATAATGCAGAGATCAATACTAATCAATAAATACTACTACAGTAACTATAGACACATAGATTAGATGATTCACCCATTGTTAGGGATATGGACGCAAATGTCCAAAAGGTTCTGGTCTTAATCTTAGTCCCATTCCCCTCTATATTAAAAAGTAGGGTTCTTATACATGTGAAGAAGATTGAGTTGGATAACTTTGGTCTCTAATCCCACACTTATTTCCTCTCTTTCTGCACTTCTTTTCCTTTCCAAATCCCATCCTTTCTGTCTCCTTTATGCAACCAACACTTACACAAAATTAAAATCACGAAGTAGACTGCCCATTATCAAGCACACTATCACATCTTTTGATATCAGATTTAAAATTGAAGAAGCTGAAATCAGAAGTATAAAGATGGACACAAGACACGGAGATGTTAACATGTAACTTTTTCACGAAAGCTGAACACAAACACATAGCGAAACGTCTATCAAAATTATAATTTTATTTCAATAAATTTTTAACTTTTCCATAATACCATACTCTTTTTAGGTTACATTTTGAATTTTGGCTGAAATATTCTAAATAGATGTGATTGTTTTACTTTGTATCAAAAATATTCATGTTACTATTAAAGATAACATATAGCAGATATAAACAAATTAAACACCTCGCTCCTACAATGGTTTTCACATGTTGTTTAATAATTAATATTTTTCCAAAATATTCTAAAATTCATAAAAAGCTTGCCGCGTTCTTGACGACTCGATGTGTTGAGGGCATGTACATTTTGTTCATCAAAAAGAAAATAACTAAATATTCATAGGACATGCCATGTGGCATGTCAAACACTTCATTGGTAGTGTGTGGAGGAAGCGTTCACAAAGCGAAAATTTATAAAAAATAGGAATCCTGAGGTGATGTGCTGAAGAAATGTCCACAAGCGTACGAGGAGTATTGGCGTCGACATGGACCCACCACCCTAGGAGGAGTACCGTGCTTCACAAGGTATTGTTTTTGTTTTATTGCAAAAGTTTTTAATGAACTAGTTTTTCTAATATGATTTTCCAACAGGAAGTATCAAGGCCTTATATTCAAGATCATTAAATACATGGTTAAAAGTGAAGTGTAAATTTAAGACTTGAAATTGTGGAGATGAATGTCCACCATAAAGCTGACTTCCGTGCCAAGAGACAGAGTGCACACAACATAAAATGAAGTAAAGAACTTCTAGAATGGATTACCCCACCCCACCCCACCCCCGTGCGCCACATGCCAAGAATTTTCCAACACTTCCACACACCCTCTTACAAACACCCCTTTCACCTTCTAGCCATGCAAACAAGAAGAAAAATATTTGACCAAGCCTGAATGTAGATTTTAACTATAGAAAGTATCAAAATATTTCCTTTAAAATTCTTAAAGAGTATTGGAAAAGGAGTTGTTAGTACTTGAAACTAGAAACCTACAAGTTATGTTGAAGGCAGAGATGGAGAGGATTGATCCTCATTATAAGCAATGTGTAGGTCGACAATCGTGTTTTGCAGTCTTTCTTCTAATCATAATTTTATAAGAAAATCAAAAATAAAACTGTTTTATGCCAAACTCACAAGTACTAATGGCACCTAATAAAACTTCAAGGAATTAAATTATAAATATACGTATGCAAATCTAAGTGTTCATTTAAGTACGTACAAACTATGTAGAGATGCAAATGTAATTATTACCTGCTTCATAGATCATATTACACTAGAAAATCTCGCAACTAAGTCTCTAAAGATTATGCCTCCCATAATCAGTAGCACGATGAAAAAGAAAAGAATTAATACATACATTCCCTTATTTTCTTTTGGTATAAAAATACAGCTACAATTAAATTAGCTACGACGTTGACCAACAAATAAACAAAGACCTTCCATCCTCAACATTATCAATATTCTATATGCTAATAAGTTCCCCAAATACAGAGACAGAAATTTCAAACGCAAAACTGATGCAATAATATCATGTAGGTTAGCCATCAATGCCAGATATAACAGCAGAAAATACCAATATGCTTCTTAAAATGCATACACAATGCATATACAACACCTGCATGTTTCTAATTCGACATACGCATATAGTTGTGTTTGTTTAACGCAAATAAAAATAATATATGTAAGGCCACTATATCATGGCCTTGTATCACAACATTAAAACTAGCAGCTAGCCCAGTGACAAGAATACCCAAGAAAAAGGCATGTATGCCTAATGAAAAGCGAAAAACTCGTGTCTTTACAGAGCTATCCAATCACAACACAAGTGAAGAGCTAGACTTGAGAGATTTTCTAGGTATGGAGGTCCATGTAAGACTAATAAAAATAAGCACACAAATGAACACGTGAATTTGTACTATAGCGAGGAAAAAATGCGTACTCGCTGGTAACAAAGCTGATGAACTCAGAGACGCATTCCTGGACAGTGTCCTTGGCGTCCTTGGCGATCTTCCCGTTAGTGGGCAACGCCTTCTTCATGATGCGGCCTATGTTTGCGATCGGGAGGAAACGATCCTGCTCCCGAACGCTCGAACGTGGGCTCCGATCCCCGCCACCACCGCCGCCACTCTCGTGACTCCCACTGCCACCGGGACTATCCGCCATCCTTTCACAAAAAACAAAACCCTAGCTCAACAACTACTAAATTCCAGTAAAAATCGCCAACAGAAAGTGATCAACAATGGATTTAAACAAAACCAAAAAATTTACACTGTTACACTGAAAAGTTGGATTTCATCATATACCAATATATAGATGAATAAATGAATAAATAAATAAAAATATGTTTATAAAGGGGGTTGGTTAAGGGTACCTGTGTTATTCGGGTGGATTTGTATTTGGCGCGCTAGGAGAGGGAGAACTGAGCGAGGATTGGCTGCTGAATTTGAAGAATCTGAGAGTGGAGAGGGGGAGGATCTGACGACGGAGAAACGACACAGAAGACTTTTAACTTCTGGGTTTCCTGCCTTACAACTTGATATATTATTGGGGTGGGGATTTCCATTTTTACCCAATAAGATTTTTTGTAGTGTAACGTGGTGCATGTACGACTTGAGATTCATTGTAGAAAATTGACCGTTCGATTTGTTATTAATCAATAATTTATTAACACGTCATTTTACACTTGTTTTTAACCACAAATAATAGTACAAAGAAGTTGGACATATTAATTTAAAGTAATATGTCAATAAATAATTATGTGGACAGTAAATTGAATGTTCAATTTTAGACAACAGATCTCAACTGTATTTATATGGATAAAACTGATTTCCTAAATACTCACTCAAATGACATGACACACTATACTAGGTGGTGTGAACCATTATCTTATAACACCTAGTATAGTATATCACGTCACCTGGTGTGCTTAAGACATAAGCTAAACACCGATACCTAAAAGAACAATTCTGTGTACATGAATGAATGATTTGGTGTGTGTTTGAGCAACATTATTTTTAAAGAATATATAATTTGAAATAATAGATTGATGGAGAATGTGTGATTACAAAATAAACAAAAGTTTTGAATTTGAATGTAATCTTATTTTATTGAAAAATATGTGGTTGAAATGATTGCAAGTCACTATTTAAAAGTGTATTTTTTTCAATGAATGTGGTTCAAACAAGACCTTAATGAATAATGATGTTTATCTTATGCTATACACTTATTATACATCATATTGATTTATTTATGGTTAAATTTATAATGAGTATCAATATTTGAATTAAATTTGATATTATATAACATCAGCTCTAATTTAATACGAGCACTGGTGCTAATTAAATCATTCATCTTTGTATAAGGACGAAGAATATTATGCTTTTGCCATCATGCAATATCTTGCTCGAAACTTGGTGGAGGTTGAGTCAAGCTAAATATCAATGTGACGTGCAAATGCAAATACTAAGTGTAATGTTCATTGAGCTTGACATTTAAGCATTTGTTTGGCCCTCCATTTTGTGATAGTAATTTTCCAGAGAATGTATGGTTAAAAAAGAATGAAGAAATGTTTATTTACGTGTAATATTACTTTATTAGAGAATATATGGTTGAAAAAAATTTAAAAAAAATGTATGAAAAATTTATTGAGGACTGCTACAGGCAACATAATATGTTGACTTCAAAAAATGTATCAACAAAATTTAAGTCATCCCCCCTCTACGTACACGTCATCTATGCACTCAAACATCCTGTTAGGAGGCAAAAGTTGCAAGCGAAAAAAAAGTACAACGATCGTCTACACACCAACGATTAAGTTAATAACTAGACAAAATAAAATATGAGTACAAGAGATTTGACTACTGTTAAATAAAACATATTAGTGTGAAATGATTTCACATATATATAGAGAAATGGAAATTGGCTAAGTAGGCTTAGTAAAGTGGGCCCAAGTTCAAACTCAATGTAAGGTTGGCTAGTTTAATAGGCCCAAATCAATTAAATAATCGATGTTGAGTTGACCAACGCGGAATCCCTTCGTCACGCATATACCACATAATTTATAGATATAACAGTAGCCCACAAGCCTGAGTAATATATTTATATGCAGGTCAGATTTGAAAATATAAACTGTCGAATAGAGTTTTATAAATAGCCTCAGAAAATATGAGTAACTCTAATAAATGAGGGCTTTCGAATTAACTCGAAAATATGCGTCAATTTCAAATAGGTGAGACTTACAAATTGTCTCGAAAATATAAGTCACTCCAAATAATGAAGACTTACCAATTACCTCAAACATATATGTGCAAGTTCGAATAAGCGGGGACTTATAGATTACCTTGAAGATAGATATCACATATAATTTATCAAAATTTTGATAGCATCTTTCCTATAATATGGACTAAACCAACACGTAATATGACAAAATATCTCCACTGCACATCTCTCCAAATAATGACAATAAAGAGAAATAATAATATTTTTCAATTTCTCCAAATATAATGCAAAATGATCTATTATGCATTATAGTAGATCATATGCTCACACAATCCTGTGTAACAGTATTGTAATTTGTAGCAAATAACATTTTGATAATGTAGATAATATGACATAACTTCTGGGTTTCCTGCCTTACAACTTGATATATTATTGGGGTGGGGATTTCCATTTTTACCCAATAAGATTTTTTGTAGTGTAACGTGGTGCATGTACGACTTGAGATTCATTGTAGAAAATTGACCATTCGATTTGTTATTAATCAATAATTTATTAACACATCATTTTACACTTGTTTTTAACCACAAATAATAGTACAAAGAAGTTGGACAATTTAATTTAAAGTAATATGTCAATAAATAATTATGTGGACAGTAAGTTGAATGTTCAATTTTAGACAACAGATCTCAACTGTATTTATATGGATAGAACTGATTTCCTAAATACTCACTCAAATGACATGACACACTATACTAGGTGGTGTGAACCATTATCTTATAACACCTAGTATAGTATATCACGTCACCTGATATGCTTAAGACATAAGCTAAACACCGATACCTAAAAGAACAATTCTGTGTACATGAATGAATGATTTGGTGTGTGTTTGAGCAACATTATTTTTAAAGAATATAATTTGAAATAGTAGATTGATGGAGAATGTGTGTGATTAGTGTCTAAAAGTGCTTTAAAGATATATAATTTACAAGACATTTTACATTCACTTTGTTTAAAAACACTAATGTTAGTCTCTAATTCCAATTCTCATGCCGTAAATTCAATTTCCATAAATACATGGTTAAAAATGCAATTAATTGAAATACGTATTTACATACATGTCGGCATGAGTATTATACATTTGAAAGAGTATCTATTTGATGTATTTCACATGTATTTCCAATTTAGAACAAGTGGAGCATGTGGGGGAAAATAATGTTGAAAAGTCAAAAATAGTGACTGCCTCAAGCAAGAAGCAGCTGTTGGTAAAATAATCATAACTTGAGCTACAGACATTGGATCGAGGTGATTAAAGTTGGGTTGGAAAGATAAGGAAAGTGTCTACAACTTTCATGTTTTGGAAGAAGTCATATTCGTATCACAAGGCAGCCAAAATTATCGTGCAAAGTCCAGCTTGATACCTGCCGGATACAGCTTGCAATAATATAAAAGCATGTACTAGCATTAATAATATAATGATGCTAAGATATTAGTATCACAATAATTCCCTAAGTCCAAGTATATATTCATATAATGCACAGACTTTTGGATAGAGGCAAGACTCTGAATATAAGCAGTTGTAATGAAGTGGTGTCGGGGCTAGATCTAGATGTATAAGCAGTTATGATAAGATGATGTAGAGGCGATGCTCTGAACATAAGCAGCTCTAATAAGTTGATGCGGCGACGATCCTCTGAACGTAAGAAATTGTGGTAACCTAATGTGGATGCCTATGATAAGCTGATGTAGATGGGATACTCTGAATATAAGTAGTTGTACTGATACTAGTGAAGAGGTGAGACACTAAATTGAATATAAACAACTCTACCGATACTAATGTAAAGGCGATACTATGAATTGAATATAAACAATTGTACCGATAGTAAAAGCCTCAAAAAATGTGCTAATAGAACCCCGGCCACCTCCCCTCAATGTAGACATCACTGGCGCACTCGAACACCCTATTAGAAGGCAAAAATCATTGGTCAAAAAAATTATACGATGATCATTTGCACTCCACGTTCAAGTCATTTTGCCGAACGAGATATAATATGAGTAAAAGAGATGAAATAAGGAGATTAAGCTAGGATGAGATAAAACATACCTTGGTGTGAAATGATTTCACATACATATAGAGAAGTAGAAATGGGTCAAGTGAGTTTAGTGAAATTGGCCCAACTTCAAGCCCAATATGTGGTTGTTAGTTTAATTGATCCAATCCAATTACATAAACGTTGTCGAGTCAGCTAATATGAGACTCCCTCAATCACACGCATGCCACGTTATAGGTATAACATGAAAAGTGTCTATTGCAAACTTTGATGGTATATTTCTAGTCTCACTTCATTGTCGTTCCTATTTGAAGAAATTTGCATGTCTAGTTTTGTGGGGATGTCAATGAATATGATTTGGGAAAGAGAATAAACAAATTAAACATGTTTGAAAAGAATTTATAAATAATTTAAATTATAAATAGATAGAAATAGATCATGAATAATTGAATTGTATTTTTTAATCTCTAAAAAATGTTGAATAAATTGATTAGAATATTTATAAATAATTTATAAACATGACTCATACTAATAAAATTTGTGAGATATATGTATTTGTTATAAAACTAGAAAGAATAATAGGAGAAAATAAAAAAAATCAATAGACTTTTATGTTTTATTGAGAACAAAATCCCTATATTTGTATATGAGAAACAGAAAAACAATGGTAATAAAAATTAAGATTGCAAGGATATAAACGCCATTTACTAATATGATTATTATTCACAACACTTTCTCTTGAATGAAACATTATAAAATATCTGCCTTGTTGATTACAAAATAAACAAAAGTTTTGAATTTGAATGTAATCTTATTTTATTGAAAAATATGTGGTTGAAATGATTGCAAGTCACTATTTAAAAGTGTATTTTTTTCAATGAATGTGGTTCAAACAAGACCTTAATAAATAATGATGTTTATCTTATGCGATACACTTATTATACATCATATTGATTTATTTATGGTTAAATTTATAATGAGTATCAATATTTGAATTAAATTTGATATTATATCACTTTCTCTTGAATGAAACATTATAAAATATCTGCCTTGTTAAAATTTTGACAAGAGAATCCAACGATATAAGACTTGATTGAAGGAAAAAGAGTATAATTACTTTCCTTGATTTCAATAATAAAAATTCTTGTATTGAGCGATCAATGTTTTGTACTTCAATATCTTCAATATTACAATTTTTATGAAACATATTTCTTTAAAACTTTATTAGGAAAAACCTTTTGGAAAAAATCCTAATGAAGGAAAAAGA